ACTCTTTCTCTCCAGGGCTGCTCAGCTCGGCAACCGCCCCCTTTGGAAGTGCCCCAAAACGGGTGAGGGCAACGAGGTGGCATTCTTGGCCACAGCACTTTTGCTCGTGGCTCCAGCAGCAGGCTGAACTCCAAGGAGAGCGGCAAGCGTAGCGTGTTCCCTGGCTCTAATGGGACTAATCGGGTGGACAGATAGATCCTGGGGAGAATTTGCAGCAGTTTGAAAGCCAGGGCTCACGGGAGGGCACGGACAGGATACCCGGGGCATGCCCGCTGTGCAGGGGAGCGACACAGCGGCTGTGCTCCTGCTGAGGACAGCCTGAAGGGGCACTCAGGCCACCGTGTCCAGTAACAGTGGGTCAGGATGTCACTGTCAGCCAGGCTATTTCACAGGGTGCCTCCGCATGAGCTGCACACAAACAAAGCAGACGAGAAGCAGAGCACGTCTCTGCACAGCTGCTGCAAAATACCTCCGTCTGAGAGCGATACCGACAGTGCCAACGCACAGTGTCACGTCATTTGGAGGTAACCCTGCCAGGGTTCTTCTGTCACATCGACAGGCTCGAGGTGTGACAACTTAACTTGCCAGAACAGGTGCTGCAGTATGCATGAGAATCCATAAAACAGTATCCAATGGAAAAGACACTGGGCATTTCCTAACAACATGCAGCATCAATGAAGCACAGGGCAATTTTTTTTTCATATTGATGGGATAGTAAGCATTTTCCAGTGGTACTGTTGACCCCTACGCTGAGAATTTAATCAATGAACACTTCCCTTAGTTGCCTTTTGCAGACCTCAGACATAGCTCACAAACCTCTGCAACCACAGGTTCAAAATATCTTCTCCAAGTTCATCAGTTGTAAAAGCAATGTCACTGCTAAAAAACTGCCGCGCTTGAACCAAACCTATGTGTGCCTCATATTCCCACGGGAGACACGACTGGAAAGCAAACACAGCGTTGTAGAACTTAGGAGCTGGTTGCAGAAAACAGAAAGAACTTGGTACATATGCTCACAGTGCCCTTCACACTGCTAAACAGCACTCTGCATTTAACTGCTCCCTTTTAACATCCTCCAGTCCAGCCTAAGCTTCAGCTTCTCCCAGCCTGTAAGATACAAAATTTGGTGACAGTCAAATGCAAGGAAAAAGTTTAACAGACCTGCACCCTGTTTGAGAAGCTCCACTGCTGAGTTTGCAGCAGTTTGTGGAGAAGTTTCTGCTATCTCCTCCAAGGGATCTGCAAACAGAAAACACTGTCCATGTCTTGTTTGGACTTGAATCGACAAATTAAAGAACATGGTCAAGTATGACTTTAGCTTTTGCAACTGTCATCTTATCTACTGGACAACTCTTGGCCAGAAACACGAAACAATCTTATATCTGCAACTGTAACAACTCACATGGGTTTTGTGCTGCCTCAGTTTTTTTTGCCTCCAGTGCTGCAGGAAGGATGCTCAAACCTTCAACCTTTATTTCCTCCCAGTAAAAGACATAACTACATAGCATATGCTGCAGGGATGCTCATGATGTCACATTAGAACAATACTAATAGCTATATTCCCTCATTACAACCTCAACATTTTTAAAAGAGTGCAATTTTAATTATCTCACTTAATTTATAAAGTTTACACTAATTTAGGCACAAAGGCTTTGTGTTTCCATGATGAAATCAATTAATTGTGTTTTGATTCAGAAGATGACAACCTAGTCCTCCTTTCTTCACACTTATGTAGAAAACAAACGTGAACTAGTAAGACAGCAGGGGAATGTTTGCCTCCCAATCTTCTGTTAAAATCAGGGAGAAAACTGTCCGTCAGTATGTTAAATTTCAGTTAGATAAATGCATGTAGAAAGATCTCACGTACTGATGCATGCTGTCTTTGAATGCATTCAAATGGAACAGAGCAGTGATACCACGTGTGACACCATTCTCATTATTCAGAGTTATCCGTACGCTTTAAACAAAACACGCACTGTGTCCAGAATCATTAACCACAGAAGATAATCTTATTGAAAAATAAATCCAAAATTTCACTGTGGTATGTTTATGCAGGACAAGGTAAACGTTTCAGTCCTGCACCTCTGCCAGAACAGAAGGAGCTTTCCATTTTAGGAGAGGAAGATAAGGAGAACAAGCCCATCCACCACACTGGTTTGCCATATAAAGACATCTCTGGTCACATCTACCATAGCATGTTTTTGTGCTGTAATTCTTTCATTAATGTATCTGCATAATTTAAATGCTGTGCTTGAACACTGGCATATGGCCTTAAACAAAAGTTTAAAGAGCTCAGTAGAAAACCACAAGAATGTTTAACATTTCAATAATACATCTGGTGTTAACTTCCTGGGGGAGAATAACAGAGAACTGAATTACGGGGCAAGCACAGCCACATTTTGCTGTTGTCTCAGAGCGGTTTATGAAATCACCAGAGCCAAAATTAGAATTGCAGTCCCCTGGTGCAACACAGGCTTTTTGATCATCGACTTAAGCAACACTTGGACCTGTCTAAGTTGCTACTTCCTTCCTGCCAGTGTCCCGCTCAGGGCATCTTCTGATTTTTTTCCTTTTTTTACCTACTTGCCTTCCCTAAAGCCCTTTTGCCCCCCAGACCCGAATGAGTGGTAACATCTAACCATACACGGGCGTCATTTCGTGTCTCAGACGTCCATTTGTCTTCCTACAAGCTAGATCGCTGTGCAGATTTCCATGTTTATGACTGGAATATCCCAGCACTAGTCTGCTCACAGCTACGGATTAGGTACGAGCTGTCAGCAGTACTGCAGAACCACTTTTAAAACACAGCTTCCTTCCCTGTGCATTCTTCCTTCCATCTCAACTTGTGACATGTTCACCTGCCTTCAGACATTGGCACTTGGAAGCAGAGCTTGCTCGGGTACATCTCTTCTGTACTTTAAGAAGCATACCTCTGTCTGGGATGAGGAGCTTGCAGGGTAAGGCCAGTGGGGTGATGGAATGCTGATACACCAGAGCTGTCAAACTCCCTGTGAAGGTCAGAAGAGCAACAAGACATGACAGTTAACTTAGTGGATGACAAGAATGCTTAACAGTTGTGTTGGCTCCCAAGTATTTTACAGATCAAGGAGCCTCCCCACCCCCCTCCTCCTTTAAAAATACTCTCTTGGCACCTAAGCCAAGACCTTCTTCAGTCAACTTCAGTGTGTTCATGTTTCCCAGCACTGTCCCAGTTGGATGTACTTGAACTCATTAATCACAATCATATGCTCCCTTTCCCTGCTTAAATCCTAACCTAAACAAATGGTTTGCTTCAGATGGAGAACGCGCAAAAATGACACAACCAATAACGTATGAAAGTCAGTAAATAACTTTCAATGCCCTCCACTTCTGGTACAACAAATGCAGTGCAACCTTACGAAGGTGGTAAGAGCACAAGGGGTCAATGTCATGCGACGAGGCAGAGAAAGCATGAGGAGTTCTGTCTCTTGGCCACCTGGTCTCCACTGCCTCGTGCTTTGTCTGCACACACCTCTATGTTGTGCTTATAAAAGATGCTCTAGATAAAACCTCCTCCATTCAATGCAGCAGTGATGCACGCAGCAGTCTCTTAAATTATTCTTTTCTATTCAAAGTCGCTTTTCTCATTTGGACTTGGCTTAATTAAAATAATTAATCATTAGTCTTCCTCGACACTAGCACGTGAGACTATAAGCAGTGGGAGGAAGGTGTCATGTTCATCAGTCTGTCTGTACAAAAACCCACCCTTCGATTCCATTTACTAACAAACACTGAAAGTTATAATCACGCGCTCGAGAAAAATCACAGTTCACCCAAAAAACCCCTCATTTTTGCAGCCCATCAAAAACGTCTTCGAAATGGGAAGGTGACCCAATTCTGCAAGGGTCTTACAAGAAACGCAAAGATCAAGGGATACTATTAGTCCTTCATTGTCTTATCCATGCAAGTGCCAGCTTTGCGAAGCAGTTTTGCGGCTGTACACATGGAAAGATGAGGAGAGGCTCAAACTAAATGATGAATAGGGCGACACAGGTGCCATAAACAGGTACTTCAAGATCAAGGTAGCACTGGGCTAAAAATCCTGATTTGAAGTAAGTCTCACACGCCCAACACTGACAAAATTCAATCCACCTTTACTTCAAAGTGGATTTGTCATTTTAAGCTTGTTCGTTTTATGGTAGATGACCCTTTCACGGGTGTACTAGGTGTGTGTGACAAGGCTGGTAGCAGAGGGTGGGAGGGCTGGAAGGTGACTTCTGTGGGAAGAAGCTGGGGCTGCCCCATGCTGGCACAGCTGGCTCCAGCAGACCCACTGCAAGGCACTGCTGAGCCACTGGTGGGAGGCATCTGGGAAAGCGTATCTAAGAAAGGGCAGAAAAGGCCACACAGAGACAAGAAGGGAACAAAAAGGGTGAGAGACAGCAGAGGGAACACCACGGTCAGAGAAGGAGGAGGAGAAGGAGGTGCTCCGGGCACGCAAGCTGACATCCCCCACCCTGCAGGCCGTGAAGGATCTCACATTGGAGCAGTCAGGCATTTCCTGAAGGAACCGTGGTCCACAGACAGCACATGCTGGAGCAGACTTTTTTCCTGAAGGATGGCAGCCCATGGGGAAAGCCCACACCTCAGCAGGGAGACAGAGGGAGAGGGATGGAGCAGCACAGAGGAACTGTTCTATAACGACCATACGCCCTCCACCACCTACCTCTTGCACTGCCTGTGGTGAGGGTGAGGCATCAGGACAAAATAAGGCAAAGACCCTGAATCAACGAGGCCTGTAACAGTCAGCCAGCTCAGCCGTCTCCAACAGCACTGGCAGTGGCACACAAGCTCGACAGCTTGAAGCTTGGTCACGTGTGTCTGTGCTAGAGTGCCCTGCACGTGCACTTCAGGTAAACGTGTACAAGGCATCTATACCCTTAGGACGGGTTCCTACAGAAATCCTTGGGACTTGAGCAAAGCATTCACTCATTTGCACTCCAACCAAGTCAATAAAATAGTAATAAATAATAAACTCTGGCAAATGCAAACTGTTCCCATTTTCTGTGATGCACAGTACTTACCAAAATACGGTTCGTTCGGGCATCCTTTCAAGCGCACCCCCTTGTGAGTGCACTCGATCAGAAAATGCCTTACGAGTTCATTTGACAAATCTCCAACTGCGTTGAGAAAGAGAAAGAAAGCTCATGAAAAGAAGCAATGAGCAGACACCTGTCTCACAAATTAGCAGGTCTTTGTGAAGTGGTTTTCCACATCGCCACCGAATGTTTTATACACAGCATGCAAAGAATACATCAGACCTGCTCTGCTGCAAGGTTACAAGCTGTAGTTAAAAGGCCATTTTGCAAAAAAAAAAAAACCCAAACAAGCAAACAGCTCACTTTAGACAACCAAAAGGAAAAGGTTTTATAATTACAAGTGACTGACTTCCAAATATACACTGGTGTCCAAAAGGTCCGAGCATGCTCCCAAAATGGAACAGGAATCTGGAAAACGAACGGTTAGAAATTCTGATGCACCTGCCCATTGCAAGAACTTGTATCCTATGTGACAAGGGAGCAAAAGTATGATAAAATACTCCCATTTCTAGTGACAGTTCTGCTCACAGAACTTCTCCCCATTAAAACAACAGAAGATTTAGGTACACAAAGGTAACGTGTCAAGTCTCTCAGTGAATTTTTAAGTTTTAAACTGTTTGCAGTTTTACACTAAGCCTTTGCTCCTGAAAACAATTACATGAAACGCTCAGGTTTCACCAGATTTTTAAAGACAGCTTTTATCTCTCAGGAATCTAGGACAAACCAAAATTGTTAAACGGATGTAAAGAGGAGATCCGAAGTCCAAGGGGCATATAAAAATTCCCCTGAGATTTAGCATTCTTTTAAACATATATATACATATGTGCACGTGGAATTAAGACAACTTCATTATTTCTTGAAAGACTGGTTCACAGTATTTCACACCTGACTACAAACTCAATCTCTCTCCAAGGAGTTAAAGGGTTATTTCATAGCAACGGGGCAAAGCTCCCCAGCCATTCAAATCTTAACAAAAGAGCCACAAACACAAACGCTGCCTTTGACTCTGATCTATCAGCCACAGTCCAGCAAACCCACAACATCAAGGGTTGACTTTCAGGCTAATACAGATGAATACATTCATCTGGACAGCAGAAACTTCTACGAAGCAAATATTGCAAAGATCACCTTTTTACACAGTTTACTGTTTGCTGTTATGCTCCCCCAATATTAAAAACCAAATTACTACAGGGTATGGGGGAAGGGGAAGCCTGGAACAAGAAACCCTGCAGGAGACTGAACAAATTTGTGCCGTCTGGGATGAAACAAAAAAGCTAAATATCACAGCGCGAGAAGTGGAAACATGCTACAGTCTCAGCTAAAATTTTCTCTTACTACCACTTGCCTGTGGTACAACTAACAAACTGGCTCTTGAAGGCTGGTAGAGTTTGCATTTTCACATCTTCCTGGACTTCATTGGTCTGATAATGGAAAAAGATTACTAAAAACACCTATAGCCACTCTCCATTTGCCTCTTTGTTGTTGCTATCACCACCCCAGTGCACCCATTTTCTTCATTAAATAAGACATTGCAGAGGTTCTGCTGACGTCCAAAGAAGGGCAACTAAACTGGTCAAGGGGCTGGAAAATAAAACTTATGGGGAGCGGCTGAGGGAGTTGGGGCTGTTTAGCCTGGAGAAGAGGAGGCTGAGGGGAGACCTGATTACAGCCTACAAATACTTGAGAAGGGACGGTGGGGAGGTGGGGGAAGGACTCTTTACATTAGTGATGGGCGATAGAACAAGAGGAAATGGGTATAAGCTTAGTCAGGGGAGATTCAGGTTGGATGTTAGGAAGTATTTCTTCTCTGAAAGGGTTGTCAGTCACTGGAATAGGCTGTCCAGGGAGGTGGTTGAATCCCCATCCCTGGATGTGTTTAAGAATAGGGTGGATGATCTACTCAGGGATATGGTTTAATGGGGGATTAGGGACGGTTGGACTGGATGATCTCTAAGGTCTTTTCCAACCCAGAAATCTATGAAATCTATGAATCTATGATGTTTCTTGGCAACAGGAGGAAAGATTGTGTGGCAAATTTTTATTAGAAATTGCCTCAAGATACCAGACTATGTGTATAGAATTTGAAAATGTTACTGTAATAGGGGTGGACTGCTAACCTTGCCCCAGAGTAAGCATGAAATCTTAAAAAAAAACCAACAGCAACCAACCAACCAACCACCAACAGAAAAAAACCACACTTCCATAACCACGACACTAGGAATCACTGCTCTCCTGTGATCTCAGCTGCCCACCTCACCAGGCAGCACGTGCTAATAAGACATAACAAGCTTTGCAAAAGGAAAACAGCAGCAACCAAAACCACCCCACTACCCTTGTAGCTGCACAAAGGGTTGGCCAAGAACACTACAGATGTTGGCTGCTGAGTTTCCGTACATTGACTAATGCTTTCTGTATGTTCTTCTCATTTTACCTTTCACAACTATCAGGTACGAGTTATCCATGTAGGCACTGAAGCTGGGAGAGCAAGTGTATTTCATCACTTCTCTTAAACAACTACCATATTTCCTTAGGAAACCTCCTCAGATTTATATTTAACGTAGACCTGTCTCAACCCAAAACCTCGGGGTCAAAAATATTCAACATTCCAACCTAGAGAAAGCTTTACACGGCGGTATGTGGATCCAGTGCCGACTTCTGATTGCTAGGGAGGACCCATACTGAGATGACATTGGTCTTCTATTGGGTTGATAAGGTACAACACACGGACAGCCACAATGAACATGCATTTACAAGCCACGGTGAAACCATAAAGTACGACAGACATCTTATCCAGTCTCACTTAACAAGATCCAAAACGCGGCCTGTAATTCCAGTTGCACTTACTAGAAGAGAGAGGATTCCTCCAGATTATTACCCAGTAATGGCTCGTTAAATAACAGCCAGCAGGCATACAGTACCTTTCTTGTTTAACTGCAGCACAGAAGGAGGTGGTGTAGCAACTTTCATCGCTAGTCCGTAGGCTCCTCGGAAAGAATGACTGTCTCGAACAATGAACGACCCAGGTTCCTTGTCCTTGAGAACAGCAATGGCTGCAAGGGATTCCGGGAAAGAGAGAGAGAGAAACAGTTCAGAACAACACACACACTCGAAAAGTACAGAAGTGCAAATCTATAATTAATAGGAGACTCAGGGAAATTAAGATCCTTTTCTCTGTCTCCGTTGCTGTGGAACGGAGTACAACTGAGCGTATCTGGGGGATCTGAGTGGAAACGTCTTCTGCAGATCTCACAGATGTTTATTTCAAGAGGAGTCCGAAGCACAGACCCGTATTGAGTTTTAAACTGAGAAGGACGTGCAGGTCCCACCAGAATTCCTACTTCCAGTGCAAGAGCAAGCTGGTTCCTGCTTACATTTTGTCAACTTGCTAGAAGCATGAGAGAGGGCACAGCTCTCTGTAATTCCCAGGCTGATGAGACAGCACTGTTTTTCCTTCCCTATGCAGTTCCAACAGGCAGAGCAGATCCATTTTCATCCACCACTGAGGTTCTGTCCCTGCAAAGCAGTCTCAGTCCCTTACTAAAGCAAGGGAAGGGATGTAAGTGAATATTTGCTCTTCGACTGTCCAAGCACTGAAACATTCTACATCTATATTCTGCTCTTGCTTTGCACGAGTCTGCTGTAGACTTCGAAATCTATGAGCCCAAAATCTTAAACTCACTTTGAAAAAAGACAAAAGGTTCATCTAATGATTGATCTTAAAACCTTAGTACTTTCCTCTTCTTCTTTCCCTTAAACTTTTTGGAAATACTTGTGTTTGTTGCCAAAATTTCTAATGACCAGCAAGTCTTCAAAGAAACCCTGGAAAAAGCCCAAATTAGAGTCCTAAACTGACTGTATACACAGAAATTATGCATATGGGGCATAAAGTTGTATTTTGCAAGGCCTGAGCAATGATTACAACATCAACACAAACATACTCTTTTTTTTTTTTTCCCAGGAAAAAAGCCCTGCAATTCAGCAGTATTCGCACAACACTTCGAGGTCCGCAGGGGGACAGTAATAATTTGTCACAGGAGTAGTCCATTAAGCACAGTAAAAAAGAACAATTGCTCCCCCTCCTCAGCAGCAGTATCTTAAAACACTTTTTAAAAGGAATTTTACTTGGTAGGGTGAAAAGAGGCATGCTAAAACGCTGGGAAGATGTTCTTTTCATTTGTTCAAGCAGCTAGGTTTAAACCTTCTTTAGGACCTCCCCTCTCTGGACTCGCATCAAGTCAGGAAATTTTTTTTGCACATTTAAAAACTCAGTTACCATTTTGGGTAGGGAGCATCCAAGGGGAAGGGGACTGGAGTGAAAGAACCAGTAAAATGGGATCCAAAGATTAATTAATGACCTGTTTTCTGCAATCTTTATTCCCCTGGGCTCATATTTACTGCTACACTATAAGAGGCATCCTCATCATTTGAGAAACCATGAACTAAACAGACAGAGCAATTCATCATCTGCCAGCAGCTGAAGGCTATTTTGATTTACAGAATCACAGAATGGCTTGGGTTGGAAAGGGACCTCAAAGACCATCCAGTTCCATCCCCCTGCCATGGGCAGGGACACCCTCCACTACACCAGGTTGCTCAAAGCCTCATCCAACCTGGCCTTGAACACTTCCAGGGATGGGGCAGCCACAGCATCTCTGGGCAACCTGTTCCAGTGCCTCACCACCCTCAGAGTGAAAAATATCTTCCTTAGATCTAATCTAAATCTCCCCTCTTTCAATTTAAAGCCATCACCCCTTGTCCTATCACTACACACCCTTGTCAAAAGCCCCTCTCCAGCTTTCCTGTAGCCCCTTAGCGTGAACTTCCTTCCCAATGCAGCACTAACGCGTCATTTTCCCCTTTCCACACCTGCATTTTAAGAATCCCAGTTTAAAATCCTGCCACAACTCGTTAAATACAATTCAGTGTAGCTAGACATCGCAGTACGGACACAAGGACCAACAGACCAACAGCATTTGCAAAGTACCCAGTGTGCTTTACTTACTCATTGTGGCAGGGACAGGTATTGAGCTCCTATGTCTACGTTTTCACACACACAGTAAAGGCTTTCTCCATCTCATTCTATACATACAGACGTACTGCATCTGCATTGTATATATTGTATATATTCCTGCCCTTTAAGAAATAGGTCACTTGCAGCTGATGATGAAATTCAGGCTACAGAGCAACTGGCAGGTGAGGACGCTTTTGTGATGACTTCTGGCTAATGATTTCTTCTCTGAATTATTCTCAGCAACTCTCAATCTATCGTCTGGGCAGGGAAACACACGTGGCTGAGATCATGCCAGAGCAGCACACTTGTACTCAGAAGGTTTCTGAGAGCAGACAGTTGTTTGGTATTGCATCACCTATGTCTGCCATTCCAAAACCTGGAGCTTCTCAGTGAAGTACATTCGAAGCAGCTACCACAGACAGACTTAAATGACTTTGCAACTAGTTCTGTTAGGCTAATAAATGGTCTGATTAACCAAATATTTTTTAAGGACCACTTGACTGCCCTCCACACTCAAATTCAGCCTTTGGACAAAAGAAATTAAGTGAGGTTATCTGTGGCCCTTCTAGGTTTTATATTTCTTACTGTATTTCTTTTAGACATCAGGTGTGCATCAAAACAATTTAAGGAAACTTCACTAACTAGCCCTTCTGTGAATGAATATGCCAGAATGCCTATCAGTTGATGTACCTTGTTCTCTTGAAATATCTGGCTTATACCAGAACTTGGATGTGTCCTGGACAAATTTTACGGTCACGTGTTTATCAGCCGTGTTTTCTGTGGAATAAATGGGAAAAGAAGGTCAAGAAATTTTTTGAAAAACAAAACCATTTTTCATTTTTCTTTCCAACTTCCAATCACCTCAGCTATTCAAAAAACTCATTATTAGAAGGACAATCTAGAGAAACTCTGAACTGTTTCAGAACCAGCAAACATAACACTGAGGTGTATAATCTAAGATTCTGAAAGCATTTCAGAAAGTTTCATTTTGCAAAACCCATAAAATACGAAAAACTCTTACATTTATAAAGCTGGATAAAATACAAAGCTTCTTAATGGGGTCCAGTGAATACACATCTACCTTTTTAAGTATTCTTGACACAAGTCTAGAAGGGACTTCTCTGCAGAGAAGCCGGATCTTATTGCAAGAAATTGGACCCCACACCGCTTGCTCGTGGTTTGGCAGTTCAAAAAGCAGCTGCCCTTGGCTGACACGTAGGGAAGAGCAGAAAGAATTCTGCAGCCTTGTTCCCTCAATAATATCTCCAACGCCAGTGAACTGGCGCCATTTACTGCAAACATTCCAAGTCCTCTGTGCGATTTTCCCTCCACTGCTTTCCCCTCACCCTCCGCCCCTTGTAAAAATCCCCTAAATGCTCTTTATACACCCATATAAAATCTAACGTATTTTGCGTTTCTCTGACACAGAACCCACCTGGCACTGGGGAAGTGCTTAATGTTTTTGAGAAATCCGGGAGGACGTTTGGGAAGGGGATGCTGATTGTGCTTCCACTGTGGGGGCTGGAGAAGCCACTTGAAGAAGGTGACACGGAGGCAAAGGAACGGTCTCCTTCAGAGGACCTCTTTTTCTCCGGAAGAGGCGGTTGAGCATGCAGGTTCCCTCCTCCTCCGTGGTGCTGCTGAACTGTGCTGTTCTGGCTACCGTGTCCCGAGGCCACTGTAAGAAAGTTTGGCGACAAAAAGCCATTGTCCTCAGCACTTGCCACTGACGAGCTCATGTTTTTAGAAGAGATGCCAGTACTGGCTAGGAAAGCAGCTGGTTTCTCCTCCGGGAGGGAACTGCTGCCCACGGTGGCCCTGCTGCAGCTCAGGTAGGCACGGGCACTGCTGCTGACAGCAGGGTCTTGCTGTGGCTCTGCTGGTGGACTCTCCAGGCTGCTCAGGGTGACGACTTGCAGTCCTGGAGTTTGGAAATGAGACAAGAGAGAGACATCTTGCACGGCGTGTGAAAACTCAGAGGGCACGAGGTAACCTCCCGGCAGCCTGCTGTGTCCCACGGGAAGCTGGAGCGACGGGGGAGCTTTGGGGCTGCTTTCAAGCCCAGGACGTTCTGCTGCAGAAGAGCTGTCAAAACAAGCCAAGAATTGAACACAAAAATAAAACAACGGAAAAATCATTCCCTCAGAACGTCACTGTACAGCCCATACTGCAGCGATCAGCGCAATCAATGGATCACCTCACCCAGGACAATGTCTGAGGGTGATCTTGGACAACACGCTGGACCTGGTGATGCAGCTGATGGGGAGATTCCAGCCCCACCCTGACCGCTCACGTCTTCAGCGTAGGTCATCACTTTCTGCCCCATCTCACCCCCCACCCAGCCACGCTGATGGGACAGTTTCTGAGTCCGCACTATGAACCAGGCCACCAAATTAATTGGAGTTAAAAATTCTCCTCCTTCCTCCTGTTCTAGAAGGTTGTTTTTAATAGGAGACAATTCAGGGAGGCTGTTCACAGCACTGCTTCACATGCAGTGGTCCTGGAGATCTCGACACAGTTTGCTGCAGTGCTGCCTGGAAAAGAGCAGTAGGAGGCAAGAGCTTCTTAAGCCATGGCTGCCACCAAAGGCAGAGGTCTATGGAAGAAAAGGACAGCAGTCCTTACATGAAGAGTCTCTTATGTTCATTTGGAAAAAAAAACCCAAACAAAAACAAACAAGAAAAAAGAAAAGAAATGGGCTAAGGAGGTACTTGTGCACCTCAACACAATAAATGAATAACTATGATAACAACGCAATCCATAAGACCCAACTCTTAGACCAGTTCCATTTTAATATAATTTATATTAAAAAAGGAAGGGCAGCAGGGCCAATGGTTAATTTATTTGATGATGGAATAATTTTGTTTGCTAGAATTTCAACAGCAAACATTAGATTTTTCTACTGGGTAGCAATTCCACCTGCTCAAGTGAAGAATAAAAAAATATCCTTCTAAATGAGACAAACTAAGCTTCTGATAAAAGTTTAAATTGCCTCCTTGCTTTTAAAAGTGAAATGCCCTTAGACTGTAGCCAGAAAACATTACCAGCAATACCAAATATAGAGAAAACAACTCATTGTGAGTGCAAAGTGAAAAAAGCTGATGACTTTTTTTTAAAAAAAGTAAGGATTTTTAATTAAAAGGGAACTGCGGAAATGGATACCAGTAGATTTGAACAGATCAAAGTAGAAGGGCCACAAAGAAATGGAAGGGAAGAAAATGTAATGGAAGGGACATCATTGTAAGGAAAAAAAACCCCCACATCTGTAGCTGTCTGCTAGATGAAATGAAAAATGATAGAAAAAACATTTAGAAAAAAGGGAACAAAATTTTCTAGATAAAGTCTGAAGTAGGAATGTAAACTTCATAAGGACTGCAGTGCCTGATAAGCTTTTAATTCATATCCACTCGTAATGAAATGTTACACGGCCTCCCCCTCAGAAAATACCACCGTACTTTGTTTAGTCTTATGATTCACATTCATAATCACAAAACGAAAACATTCTTTCACAGTCCGAGTACTGATTGCAAATGAAATAAACCAGATGAGAAGATAAAAGATAAATAGGTATCAACATACTTGAAGTCCTCCCTGAGAGTCTGACACACCAACCAACAGTATTCCAAATACTTACCATGAAAAAGGAGCCAATTATCCAAGAACAAGAATAGGATAGCTAGCCACAACGGAATGTTGTTGTGGAGCTACAGAGAAGGAAACCTCATCAGCTGTAACACAGCACCTCATCTGTTAAGTAACTACAGGGCACAGCTAATGACTGACCCTTCATGAACCTTCTTCTGAAGGTCCTCAGAAGGTCTTCTGACCTTCTGCAAGGTCTTCTGAACCTTCCAACAGTAACCTGAGACCCTCGCTATTTCTCATCTTACGCTGTAAGCTCCTTGGGATAAGGACCACTTTGTAGATTTACACTATTCAAGCTCTGGTCCAGAACCTTATGTGTCTACCACAACACAAACACAAAAGAATAACACCTCTCGGCCTGCTGAGCCGTTGAAAGGCAGTCAGCTATTCACTACCAAAAAAATAATCCTCTGACATTTGACTGACCAGAAAGGCACGCACTGCAGTGAGAAGAGTGCTCCCTCTCTCTCAACGTACAACTTTCTCCAATGTGAAATTTCATGACATGCTTTTCGGTAAGACATTAGAGAAGCTTGTTAAGCACACAGGAAAACATGTATAAGCTTGTGCTAGCACATCATAAAGTAAATTCCCGTTCATTTTTGTATTCCTATTTATCTTCAAAGCTAACTATGTCCCTGACACACAAATAACATCTGTGCACGTGGGAAGTTCCAGCTGGTGGACAATATCATCATTAAATGTCACAACCAAACTCAACATCCTTGGACAAACGCTCTACAATGAAGATGCAAGTGTAGCATCTTTGCTGGAAACTATAGTTATGAGAACTAAACAATAAGGTAGGAGAAATCTTTTCCTACCTTTCCGCCCCTGGGATAGGACTGTTACTTGAAACAGTGCACGAGGATGCAAAACAGCGCTGAAAGGAGGGATCTGTCGGCACGCTGGCCCTCAGCGAAGCAGGACTGGTGCCCACAGCGCCGTCGGACATCACCATAGAGTGGTTAATGGCCTCCGTGTAGCTTCGAGACTCTGCAGCAAAGGAAACAAAGTGAAAGGCAAGTTAAAAAACAACTGGCATTTTAACGGACCTTGTACTGAAAGGAGCGTTTATAAAACAATATGGTTTTCTCTTAACGGGACGACAAAGAAGAGTTTTTATTCATTTGAACAGGAACGTTTTATTTCACAAGATTATGTTGATTGCTGAAAACATCCAGCAGGACAAACGACAGAGGGAATAAAGATTAGGGAACCGCACCACTCGAACTTCCATCGCTTCTCCAGGGTACGTTCTCTAGCCCCAGAGATGAGAACAGACCCGTCTGTTCCAAGCTGTTTCGCATTCCGCAGTCCAGTGTTGATCAGATGTGGCCAGTCAAGCGTCCTGTGTGACCACACGCACTGTCAGCGTGCACCTAAACACCAAAATTATAGAGAAATGGAGCATCAATTCAGCCCCCACTGCTGACTGGGGCAGGGGACCTGGTGGAAAATGACATGGAAAACACTGAGGTATTCAAAACCTTCTTCCCTTCTGTCTTTACCAGTAAGACAGGCTTTTGGGAATCTCAAGCCCCTGAGACCACCGGAAAAATATAGATCAAGGACAACACCCTTGGTGGAGGAGGACCAAGCCAAGGAGCACTTACACAAACTGGACATACGTAGGTCCACTGGGGCCTGACGGGTTGCACCCACAAGAGATGGGTGAGCTGGCTGATATCACTGAAAGGACACTCTCCATAATCTTTAAAAGGTCACAACAACTGGGGGAAATTCCTGAAAACTGGAAAGAAGCAAGTGTCACTCCTGTCTTCAAGAAGGACGTGAAGGATAATCTGGGGAACTGAATGCTTGGCTAGCCTAATCTCAGTCTCTGGGAAGGTGATGCAGCAACTAACCCTGGAAACCATTTCCAAACACATGAAAGAAAAGATGACAGAGTTGTCAGCATGGATTTATGAAGGGGAAATCATGCTTATCCACCCTGATAGCCTTCTTCAGTGAACTAACTAGCTTAGTGGCTAAGGGAAGAGCAGTAGATGTCGCTTATCTTGACTTCAGTAAGGCTTTTATCACGGTCTCCCGTAACACCCTCACAACATGCTGGAAAGCATGGGTTAGACAAGCAGACGCTGAGGTGGACTGAAAACTGGCTGACTGGCTGTGCCCAGAGGCTTGTGAGCAGCTGCACCACGTCCACTAGGAGGAAAGCCACTAGCATTACACCCCAGGGATTGGTACCAGGGCCAATGCTGTTAAACGCCATCACTAGCAACCTGGGTGATGGGATAAAGTTTCATCAGCAAGGTTGCAAACAACAGAAGACTGTGAGGAGCGACTGATAAACCAGATGGCTGTGTTGCCATTTACAAGTGGGAGAACGGGGCCAAGAAGAATCTGAAGAAGTTCAGCAAGGGGAAATGCAAACTCCTGCCCCTCGGAAAGAATAATCCCAGGCACCAGTATGTGCTGAGGGCCAAGTGGCTGGAAGACAGCTCTGCAGAGAAGGACCTGGAGGTTCTGATGGACAGCAAGCTGACCACGAGCCAGCAATGCAACCTCATGACAAAGGTGGTCAACATACGTGTCCTGGCTGCTTCAGAAAGAGCATTGCCAGCAGGTCAAGGGAGGTGATCATTCCTCCTTCCTCTCGGCTTAGCACTAATGAGGGCACTAATGGAGCTCTGTGCCCATTTCTGGCCTTCCCGGTACCAGAGAGACATGGACTTGCTTGAGCAAGCCCAACACAAGGCCACAAAGATGCCTGCAGCATCACTGGGACTGGAGCACCTTTCAGAGGAGCAGGGGCTGAGAAGAGCTGGTACTGTTCAGCCGGAAGAAGAGAAGGCTCAGAGGTGTTATCATCACTTGTATAAAAACCTGGTGGGAAGGAACGAAGATGAGGGAGTCAGTCTTCTCTCACTCTTCTGCTCCCATGAGGAGAAACGGACAGGACTGGGTTTGAAAAGCAGTTGAGTAACACAGAGCAGCACGGGGTTGAGCTACCAGTACTGCTACACATTTCAGGCGTGACTTTGTTCACACCACACAGACACACAAGTAAAGCAACTGTACGCTTTTCTTTTCTAGTAGCCTGCAAATAGCATCGGAGTAATTGGATTTTAAATTAATTCAAGTCAGAACTATGTTCAACTTCATTATACTGGACAAAAATACTACGTGATATAGTTAAAACAGACACGTTTGGATGAGGAATAATGTGGATGCTATTACCGAAGAGCTTTATACAGGAACAGTTTAATCCTCTTCTTTACAGGTACATTTTAATAACCAGTCAAGCTGTAATGAGGATTACATTTAATTATTCTGGTATAGCCTAAAGCAATCCAGCACCTATTCACATAAGCAACGGGCTATTTTCAACCACAGAAAAAGCCAGGCACTAAGACACTGCAAATGCCTGCGCACCTGAATAGTTCCATTGACCTCAACGCTTGCAGGACTGGAACCCAGTAAGACCATTACAGATGAAACAATCTCTACTTGCTGTCTCTTGAGTAGATACACTCGAAAGATTGAGGGAGAAAAAACACACAAGTTACTGAACAATTCCAGTCCTACAAAGAGTTAAACTGGTGTTAATACATCTTTTCCATCGGGAAATCTTTCTAATGTCAAAAGGAGGAAGGTTCTCATTATTTCTGTGGGCACCACTGAAACAAGTCTAAATAAATCCTCTTTTCCCTTCAAGTCAGGGCAGAGCCTGGCTCTGCTATTATTTGGATGAGGAGGGTGCAAGGTACTTAAAAGCCATGCCTGAGATAAGAAAACCTGCAAATCAGTGCCCTGACTGAAACCCATTTGAATTCCTCACATAGCACGCATACTGTACCGGGAAGAAAACATTTAATGGGATGAGGGAAACACCAGAAAACTGCTTCAACTACAAAATTGCTGCTACTACATCCGTGCCAGCCATAAAAGCGAACTTTAAGGAAATACTGCAGAAACGCGTGTGGTGTGGAACAGCTGGAGAAACTCGAATCTGTTATCCACCTGATAGATCAGATGTATTATAGACATTCCGATACTGGTGCGGACAGTCAGAAAAAGATGGCTCCATAAACCCATGATTTAGGCCATGTTCCTACTGAAATCAACGGCACTGGTGTACGCAAGTACTATAGAGGTTAACTGCCCAATTATTATTCATGTTGAGCCTCGAGCGATGATTTCGATACATACGAATATACATACGAATATATTACAATAATACGGTAATATTACTTTGTCTTAATGATTATCTAAGAAAAAGCCCATCAGTTGAAGGCAGGTTGGGTCACACCAACGTTGCACATCTGGAGCCTCCCAGGAACACCCTCCCGCCAGGCTAAGGGCAGACACACCTACGGAGAGCAGCACCTGGGAGATGGAGGTACCATAAGCGCAACAGACATCACGCCAACCTGCAGATGCTTCCCAGTTCAGGTGGAGATGACTCTTGCTACTGTATGGGGAAGGTTAATGCACTCCCAGCAGGCACGGGAATTATGACCACGAGCTTAATGCCGTATCCATGCCTGTTTTCCGGCCTCTATGTCTGTTCCCCTGCCACCAGACTTCTCCCACTCTAACGCAGTCTCAGCTACATGCACAAGAGATCATCTTAAAACAAAGTCCTCTCCTTCCCCCACCAGTAACAGCACTTGCTTGAAGAAATGGACCAAGACTTGATTTTTCCCTGTTTCAGGCCTTGGGCTGTTGCTGTTACCAGCAGAGCACCAAACGCAGGGGGAGGGAAGGACCGCTGTCACGTTCCCAGAGGAAACTTTTCTGTTGGTAGCAAATTTTCAGAGGTGTAAAATACTCAAGTGAGAGTGAAAAGCCACTGGCACGTAACCTGCAGGAAGAACGCAAACTTTGCACAGCTCCTCCCAGCCTAGAAACAAGTGTATCTGAAAGGCACTTCCCATGAAAGCAGCTTTGTTATATTCCAATTAAAAAACAGCTCGCTGAATATTTCAGCTATGTCCTCTCTATTGTCTGATGCAGAGTGCACACTCACCCCATCAGCTGTTAACCCTTTAGCTCACAGAATTGTTAACTCAGTGCAATCTCAAGTTTCTACAGGATTTCTGTATGCGTGGCACGAACTGCCCTGGCATGTTTGCGTTGGTGCTTCTTGCCGCAGGCCCCTACTGAACCTACACCATTACATCTGTGAGGAGAACACTGACCACATGAAAGGTGCAGCTCCCTACTTCAAGAAGTGACACGACAAAACCAGGATCATTCATGTCTCTTCATGCAGCCTGGTCAGACCTGTGTATCTACACCTGCTATCACTGATCATCAACGTTACAGGCAGAACCTAACAGAGAGGGACTCTTTGCATCACACACTGCGGAAAAGTGACATTCAGGGAAGAAAACAAGTACTATTGCGCCCACACAAAAGGCAGAAAAATATCCAGCCTGCTCTTCTACTGTCTCACTTGGCAGCAAAGGTCAAAATAAAAGCTGCAAGCTTCTTTCAGTTGCAAGAAGAAACTCCTGGATGTGCCTCGTCCACAGGTACATAAAGTAAGATGCTATAGATTGATTTGTATTTTAATCCTCTAAATCTGTTAAAACAAAAAAGAAAAAGGAACCCTGAAAAAAAAATCCACCAAAAAACCCACAGTGGCTTAACTCACGTCATGGTCCAGATATGCAAAAATATTCCTTTTCCTCTTTCTTGTTGCAGCTGAAGGGCAAAATCACCTCACAGCTTTGGAGACGATTGTCCAACAATGCCAGGGAAGTGAAAGGAGCAATCATTACACTTTCATACCTTGTGTTTTAGCAGCTTCTCATACATTCCCGTCTTTCTAGTCCTTTTTGTGAGAAGCTAATAGCTAACAACACTTCAGCAAGGGCAATGTTGACGGAAAGATTAGTTGGAAAAACCATAGTTTCAAAGAAAAAATTGGAGCAAGGAAGAGAGCTTCAGTGGAGGAGGGGTACTGACATGCAACATCCAATAGCAGCTAACTGGGGTGGACGAAGTGAAAAGGAGCCCACAATTTCAGCTGCACAGTGCACGTATGGAGTAGCAGAGGCTGTTGCTACTGAGTAAGGCCAGAAACCCTGGAATCGGTGATTTCATAACACAGGGACTTGGCTCCGTGGCAGAAGAGTCCCTCCAGCAGCGACAGTGCTAACAAGAGAACTGGCAGTGGCAGAGTTAAGGAGGTCCTCAGCAACCTCTACAGAGCTCATGGAGAAGGCCAGAATTAAAAACTTTGCACAAGGAGAAAGGAGGCAGCAAGGTGGCCCCTCTGAACCAGTTTACAAACCAACACCTTTCCAAGTCCATTAGCATTTATAAGGTTCTTACA